AAGTTCACGCTTGTCTTGCACATCACAGAAGGAAATAGATGATGAAATAAAATTATGACGTGAAACTAATGATAGGATGTATTGGGTTCATAAATCATCTGGACTAGATAAAGGTGAATTCAGAATTATTGGAATGCAAGTTGCTGAACGATTAATGCGTTTAAATATTCTTATCAGGGATGTGAAAAATGTGCATCATTATTAACATCTTTACGAAGCTGAAATCCCTGTATAAAAATCAGATCCATCTACTATAACGAATTTTGTAAAGACTACTACTTTTACAGAATATTCTAATAGTTAATATGTCTTTATTACTTAATGCATTCCCAGTTAGATCCAAAAGAAATAAAAACAGTTCAAATGTAGATTCCGAATAGATAGGACTATATATATTTAGTAAATTTATTATCATTTTTTATTGTATCAATAAAGTGATCCTGCGGTCGATTTCATAAATAATTTTTTTCTTGATCAGAGTTGGAATAAAGAATAGTATTACGCTGTAGAGTCAACAATTTCATTATTTAAGGCACAGCAATACAAAAGGAAATGATCAACAATATATAGTAAAAAGTTACAAGAAAAAGTCATATGATAAAAGGAGAAATAATCATTTTATTAAGAGAAAGAATAATACTCAGATAAATTATGGACTGAAAAGGAAGATTACACAAGATGGATAAATCATGGAAGAAAATGATTTAGATAAATTAGTTACCAAAAGAAAAAAAATAATTAATTAACTGAACAGAAGATCAAAGGAAAAGGATAATTAATCAACCGAACGGAGGGTCTTATAAAAAGACTTAGAAAAATATTTGAAAATAACAAATTGAAGAAGTTACACGAGATGCAAAAAGATTACACAAAGGCACACTCGTTAGGAATGACAAACTGGATCACATAGAAGCTTGTGTAATATAAAGGTTACACATGACATCATAAACGAAATAGAAATCAGAAGAAGAACAGAAGTTAGTATTGATACGAAATACGAAAGAAAGACAGAAATCCAGAAAGTAAGAAGGAAAATTTATTATTAATAACTTTAAAGAAAATAAGTAAGAATTAATATAACGAAAGTGAAAATAATATAACAGAAACGGAAGCATGAATTAGTACAACAGAATGAAATTAAATAGTAAACAAATATAAATACAGAATTTAGTAATGAATAACGGATAATTCAGAATAATAGTAAATTAAGAATTCGGAATAAGAAATTAAAAACAGGATAAGAGAATATTAAACATCACGTAGTAATAAATAGAATATACATCACAGATAGATTACAATTAGTAACAGATATTAAATATATCAGGGAAAATAATTAGTTTATTCATCACATATAGTTACTATTCATCACTTTTTATATGTAAATTTACTATATAAATCCTTGGATATCTTCAAGTAACCAGGTCGTTCAATTTCTCAAGAATAAAAAAAAAAAATAATTTAATAAATAAACTTTTAACACAAATAAAAATGAATACTTTTGTTTGAAATAATTAATTGTTGAACAATAAATTATAGAAATAAATAAAGTTATCTCGCTTGTATATAAACTTAAATTTTAGAAAAATGTTAATGAAGTAATGCAGAAATAAAACTTATAAGGAATAATAAAAATATAAGAGAAAGTTAAAGAATATTTAAACATCATGATATAAAGGAAAATAAATAAAAGAATTAAAGAAAAATATTAAAGAATAATAAGGAGAAGTAATATTCAGAAGAGATATACAGAACATATATTTGGAAAACATATTCAGAAGAAATATTCGAAATATATATTCAGAAGAAACATTTAAAAGTAACATTCAAAAAACATATTTGGAAAAAACATTTAGAAGTAACATTTGGAAATAATATTCGGAAGATATAATCAGTAAAGATAAATAATTTTTATGTTAAGAATAATAAAAATAAAGAGAAGAAGTGTAATAATAAAAGAAAGATAAGGAATAACTTGACTAAAGATTAGATGACAATAACATTGAAAAGAAATTATTAAAGAAAATTATCGCTCAACATGAAAGAAAAGATTCTCAGCAATTAAAAATTAATTTGTAAAACAAATCCTCTTGATGACGAGTGGCAGAAACGATTAAGAAGGTACAAGTTATGTTGAAGCTTATCGAACTCAAAAATGCTATACATTTGTATAATAAGAGTTATGGCAACTATAACGCAATTTCGCAGTAATGGCACGGTATTGACATGGTATTATTTTTCAGATCTAATAGTAAAATATATTATTCAACACAGTACTAGCATAGTATTTCTTAACAATCGATTCCACATGACTGGTTAAAAATCATTCCACAGAAGTTATCTGCATGATTCTAAGCCATATCCATTATATATAGTCATTCGATATGTAATGACTTGTCTTTTGTACTTATGCCACTCCCAGTGTGTAAAATCTATGTGCTCATTAATTTTTTGTGTGCATGTATTACACAACATAAAATATGCACAAATTATTACTAAAAATAGATAAATTATGTACAAAAAGGTAATTTTACATAAGAAAATGTTTTGATTTTCTTATTTTAGTAATAATTAATCAACTTATGCACATAAATTTTAACTTAGATTTTATACACTGACCACTTCCCTCTTCACGTACCTGCAATAATGTAGTTAAGAAAGGTATAATACCATGTTCTCTAGAGATCTGAACTCCTAAAAAAATAAAAAGCTTTTACAATGTGAACTGACGAGCAACTTCGAGTCTTGATCGATGACCGTAAAGAAAATAATGAATTGTTTTATGAATTAGTTGGTAATGGGAAGAAAATTTTCTGGAAGAAAGTCTCCACAAAGATCAAACTTCAGTTTGGAACGTCTTATACTGGTGCACATTATAAGGAAAAGTTTGAGAGTCTTAAACGTGATTGTAAAGTAAATTCTTGTCTCGTACTTTTTTTTAGAAAATATTCTCATATATTATCCAAAATTATGAACTAATTCATCTTTATGGAGATTAGCATATGAAAGATTATATTGATGGTAAAGATAAGGGAAAGAAGACCAAGAATGGTCTGAAGTATTATGAGGAATTTAAATCAGAGTTTTGGAAAAAGTCTGGTAAATATGATTTAACTCTCTTATCATTTTTTCATGTTCAGAAATATATATATATATAGACCATAAGTAACTAATCAAAGATTTTTACTTTTCTCTAGTATCAGAATATGATCGGCTTCACGAACAAAATATTATAAGAAACCAATTCCCACCACCACCGTATGAAGAAAGTAATGGTTTTACTTCACAACCGCAATTGTAGTTATAGCCAAGTATTATAGCTGAATATTATTGTTAGATGATTAGTAATTTACTATCCGTAAATTTGATAATGTAAAAAGTATTTTGTATTGCTAGAATCTGATTAATAAAATCATTGACATAAGCATCTTTATTCGCATCTCTTGATTTTTTATGATAATAATATCGCTATAGGTAAAATTTTGCGTGCAAACTTTTTTTTGTGCAAAAATACATCTAATAAAATGTTCTATTCCGACTATAAACATATTACTAATAGACTTCCAAATAGCCTAGTCAAAAGAGCATATCAAAGTCTTTTAAATCACTCTAAAAACCCTGTTCCATTAGAAATGATTTCTGGGAAGTCTGGTCGAATTGAGTTATATCTAAAGCATAAATTAGAAGTATATGAGAATTCGTTAAATAGGAAACGCAAAACTATGACTCAGGAAAAAACATTGCGTTCCCGAAGTTGGCCAGAATGTAATGTTGAATGATATTCTAAGATATCATGTGGACAAATCATGTTCAGGTCACGACTATAAAATCTATTGATCGCATATTCGTGTTACTGAAATATATATGAAACTTATTAAGCTATGCCCAAGGTGTTGTTATTTTTTTTCTGGCTTTCTGGCTCATGGCTCTCTATGGTCTGATTGTTTTTTTTTCTTTATACCCTTTCGTAGACCAAAGACCGATAAAATGGAATTTTTAACAAAACTCATTCAAACGACTGGTCGCTTTTGGGATATCTCAAATGGAGATCGAATTTCGCTGATTTTTCCAGTAAATTATATGAACATAGCGTTTTTTTCGATTTGATTAAAAAGATTTCTAATGAAGGTGAAGCAAGAGGCGAAATGGCAAAGTTGATATGGAAAGACTTTAAGGTTGTATTTATTTTTTTTAAAAAAAGGGGCCACCGATGGGCCAAGAATTTCTAAAGATTCTTGAGATTCTTGGTAGACTGTGAGTTATTGTTGCTACATACTAGTGAACCGTGAAGTTGCACAGTGATGACCGGAAGTCAGTAGTGATTCATCAGTAGTCCGAAATAGTGAGGCACTACTGAACCGTGAGTTGCAGTGTGTTTTTGACTGAGAGTCAATCGCTATTTCTCAGCAATACTTGAACCTTTAATATATTTATTGAAATAACTTGAAATACTAACTAATAATTCTTTATTCTAAGGATGAAAAAGATTCGTTAGAAGTGGATACTTTTTGGAATAATTGTGAAGATGTAGAACTATAAAGGAAGAGAAAACTCTGGTATATAGAGTTTTCAAATGTAAGTGTTCTAATATTACATTAAAATTTTACTTACGTATTCGAATTATCACTGACATGCTTCTATATATTTACTAGTTGGATTATATACATGCGCGGGACAAACAACTAGAAAAACATGTTAAGATTATCCGAGAAAATAGAACGATAGCTGAGCAACCCGAACTCTTCTTCTTGATGTAAGTAAAGTAAAGAGATTTTTTTGTATCATAGTATCTACCTCAAATTGATTCACACATATCTCTCTATTTAGGCAAACGTATCTGTAATGGATCTCTCAAGTATTTTAAATGATCTGGAAAATTCTCCTAGCAAGCACACGGAATCAAATAATGATGGCATAAGTTGATGTTGAATTGGCCTTTATGAATTTATTTTATCTATTTTCTTTATAAGAGCTGAATAATTGTTGTTACCCATCAGCTGAGGATGCCACCTTCAAAATCACTTGAAGTAAAAGAAACTAAATATATTACCACTCTACAAAAGCCAAAGCTTTGCAAGCGTTTTATCCAATACTTGTCAAAGCATATATCAGTGAACATTAACAAACAATGTTTGATCATGAAGGTTGATCAATTTGCTATAATTCCGGATGAAATTTATAAATGGCTCATAAATGTACTATCGGTAAGTTAGCATAAAAGCCTTCTTCTGGAAATTAGTATAAGGGCGTATTTTAAAGATCTTTCTCTTAGTCTGAAAGGATAGTTTCATGAGTATTATCATGGCTCCGCTAAACCCCAAACATTAATTTCAAAAGATATGCAAGATAATTCTTTACGACTTGTGAGTATATACTGTATATCATCCAGGGCTCTATATAACCACCTTTTTTGAACAACAAGTTAACATTCACTGCTTAAACTTAGTTTTTACATGACTAGCGAAGGTTCAATAGATCGCTATATTGGAGAAAGAAAATATACTGTAGAACAAATTGCCCCATTGTTTAAGGCAATATAGTCCATTTACAAAGAGTACAAATTTGACTGGATTGAAGTTCAACTTGACTGTATCAAGGAGATGAAACTGTTGTTCCCAAAATTTGATTTGACACTAAACAAAGCAGATGGTGTCTGCATGAAGGCCTCAAGTAACAAGGAAATAGTATTTATTGAGGTATCAGGAGGACCCGAAAGTACCGTGGAAAATCACGTGTGGGAAGATACTGAAAAGCTAATCAAAGAAGCGATGTTTGGGTTGGTGTCTCTGTTGAGAGACTATTTAGACAAGAATGCGACGAATGCAAAGAATATACGCACATACATGGTGCAAGTTATTGGTAATGTATTCACTACTATACCAATCCTTTCAAACAGCACAAATCTTACACAGTCAATCTATTTTAGGTGATCGAATAACACTAAGTGAAATCTGTCTTGTTGAGAAACACTTTTATTTGGTTTCACAAATAAAGTCAGCAGTATTACAGTATTACCATTTTCATTCGACGAAGTTGAAAAGTTTTTGGAAATTTTTGAATTACTTTATGCTTTATTGGTTAGTATTTTCCGCATATACCTTTCCTTTAAATCTGGCGAAATCTTTACTTTAACACTTATGTTCGATCCTTAGAATGGACTCGAAGGGCAAAAAAATGAACTTAAGAAGCTGGCGCTCACTAAACCCATTAAATATATACCTACAGTTCGAGATTGGATCTGGGTCCCAGAATCAATTGTGAAATGGAAAGTTATTGGAATACTAAAAAACGTGTAACAATGAGTCCGATTCATTTATTTGCTAAATTACAGAGTAAATAATGGTTAAAATGATTATCTTAAATAATTATCTTATAAGGCGAATACATAAAGAATAGTAATGTTTATCAGTAAAGACATACTTCAGGCAAAAATTTACATATAATCTATATAATCTTCAGTTATTTAATGGTATAAATCGTATTAAGTCTTTGATAGCTAAAAATAAATTACTGCATCAGGACAGATTCATTAATAAAGCTATTTTGCCCGTTTATTTCATGCTACATATGAGAGGTATGTGTGTAACTGTTCATCGGAAAAATAAAAATGTTATAACATCTGCAAGTGATCATTGTTGACAATTTGTCACGCGTACATTATTATGGGTGAGACTTCTGAATATGTTCGAAACATTGTAAAAAATTTTTCTTGGCTGACCCGGGTTGCGCATGTGTAATGATTATAAATAAGGCATTTAAAGATTCGAATTTATTCAATAAGACCCAATTCTCGAAGATTCCCTGGAATAACTATATATGGGTCTTCATAATACCAAACATACCTTAAGGCAATCAAATTCTCTTCGCATAATTCTTTCTTGAGTTGATCCTGTGCTTGTTGCTTGATAAAATTATTGGGATCGCCTCTATGAAAGAACTTGTTAAATTTTTCATGCTGTTCTCCTTGCACTTCGATAGCAAAACCATATTCATAATAGGGAATATCAAGTTCTAATCCTTGAGGATATTCAGATATTTTTAAGAAATCAGATCGGCGTATTTTAGACGGTGGTCCAAGATATTTTGATACTATTTCTCTACATAGTTGTTCTTTTTTATATTTGAGCAGAATGGACACCACGAGTTTGAATGTTTAATATTGCTAAATGATGCAGTCCATAAATGTCCTTCAGCACATTTCTATAATAAAGCTGAATGACTATTAGTAAAATATTTAGAAAGGCATGTTCCATTTCTATTACATGCCAATTGCTTTGCATTTTCGATAGTAAGAGGTCTATTACCTGCGTGATGTGGGCACCATTTCTTACTATTTTTTATATTATTAAAAGATGCATTCCACTCATGTCCTTTGGAACAACGCCATTGCATTGGAACATTGATATTAATGTATTCAGTAGAGACGCATAGCCCATTTTTGCTACGAGCTAGTTGCTTTGCATTTTCGATAGTAAGAGGTCTATTACCTGCGCAATATGAACACCATCTCTTACCATTTTGATACTATGAAAAGTTGCAGTCCAAACATGACCTTTCATACACTGCTATTGCATTGGAGTATTGACATTAATGTATTCAGTAGAAATACATAACCCATTTTTGCTATAAGCTAGTTGCTTTGCATTTCAATAGTAAGAGGTCTATTAACTGCGCAATATGGACACCATCTCTTATGATTTTTTATATTATTAAGAGTTGCAGTCCATTCATGACTGTTTGCACATTTCCATCGCATTGGGATACTAGCATTAATATATTCAGTAGAAACACATGTTCCACCATGCTCTTTAGCAATTGCAAAAGCATTATCCAATGTCAATCTTTTCATTGATTCTTCAATGAAAAAATCAAAACTTTAATTACCAGATAGTGAAGTTCAAACTAACAATATCACTCATGATCATGAGAAAGAGAATAATCGCCGGGTCATGAATGAACTTAAAGTATTATCCCAGCACCTAGTTGATTATAATAAAAGAATTTTTGAGAAATTCATGCAAGACATCGAAAATGATTATAGAGAGCGGGTTAATGCAAATAAGAAAATATGCTATGAGATCAAAGATTTGAAGATGCAAGTGCAGGAAGCGGAAAAAGAGCTGGCATCTATGAAGTCAGATTCTATTTATTAGCTGAGGTACTTTTTTCCTTGTACTTTTGCAAAGATCCTGATCAAGATCATGCGTCTTTTGAGGATCTATATAGATCAAAGGTTCTCACATTCTCTTTTATAATCACGAAAAAAGAATGTCATTTTGCAAACCTCATCCAAGGCAGAAAAGAACATGTGAAGAATATAAAGCTGAGCTGGAGGAGAAGAACTACCATCTTTGTAGTGAATTGCAAACAGAAGTTGATAGTAATCGTCAGAATGAAAGATGAATTAATCAGCTAGAGCAAGATTATTTCCGGTATGAGCAAGAAATCCAGACCCTTAATGGGAAGATAGAACGTCTTGAGAATGCTTCAAAAGAAAAGTTAGTAGAGTTGAAGTCTGAAATCTCCAGTCTAAAAAATCGGCTATATCAAGCTAAAAAGGATATATGGGATAAGGAAAACTATATCTCTGATTTAGAAAAGCGCTTAAAAGAATCTGAAGAGCAAGTTGAGAAATTGCGATGCCGGATCAAGACCATCTCATCATGAAAAAATACACCTGAACGAGGGAATTCTCCAGACTTATATAATTCCAATGATAATATGGCTACAATCATAGAGCTAGCAATTGCTATAGATAGTTTTGTTGATAATAGAACAACGCATAATGATATTCTTATAAATCAAATAAAAGGGGTAATAAGGCAGATTCGTCAAAAGAAAATAATTTGTGTTAGGATATAATTCAGGAACAGAGAAGGCGTTATGATGCAGAAGCTGAACGTGATAATGAAATTATACGAAGGCAACTTGCTGAAGGAATAGAACAAAGAATTATTGGTGATCTTCATCAGTTATGAACTAATAGCTGAAATCAGGTTAATAGAATGTTAGATAGGTTAACAAGAAATTAAACCCGTATAGGTAAACTGGTACAAGAAAAATTTGCCTTACAATTATTATATCAGCGAAATGCTCATCACCTTCAGCGTTGTAGAGAGGATATAGGCTTATTAGAATATAATCGAGACAGGCTCTATGAGCGATATGGAAAATGGAAAAATAAAACTCAAGCAGAACGCCAGAATATTTTAAATTTGCAGGCACAAATTTTAGCGTTACAGAATAATTCACCTAATCAAATAAACATGGCATTACTAGCAGGATTTCAAATGCCTAAATTATATAGCTTTGAACAAGATCATGAAGATTATGTAGATAACTTTATAGCATATATCAATTTAGCAAATATAAATGATGAAGCAAGAATTCGCAATATACTGGATTGATCTGTAAAAGGAGAAATGCGAGAATGATACCATAGAGAGTTCGATAATAAAAATTGGGAATTACAAAATGTTCTTAATAACTCTAGCATAGGTGCAGGTATAGCAAATATTCGAGAAGCTAATGCAGGAACTATAAAAGGAGTAGTCAATTCTTTTCCAAATGTTCCACTAGGTTTTGCAGGAGCGCAAATTATTCCAGCTCAGAATGTTGCAAAAGATTAGACAATAGCAGGAGGATGAATAACTAATGCAGGACCAGTTGCAGTAAATGCTGGAGGAGAAGTTCCTGTCATCCTTGCAGGAATTCGATCTGAACAAAGGTTATATATGATTAAAAAGCATTTTCCATCTGCAAATAGATATATAAAGATGCTAGAAATTGGAGCATTAAAACAAGAAGCACATGAAAGTTCATCATCTTTCTGGGCAAAAATTCAGAAGTATGGAGATCATTTAGATTATACTTCTGCACAGAAAAAAACAAATTTCTTATCAGGTGTTAGAGAAGATATTAGGGATGAAGTTTTTAGAATTGGTCAACATAGGCCTATTGACAATATCCTTAATAGTTTGACAGATATTGAATTATGTCGTAGGGTATTAGGACTACTGCCATCATATCTCAGTTATACACTAGCCCCTTCTGATAATGTACCTCAACAGCAAGGAATATCTTTAGAAGATATGCAAAAAGCAATTCAGAATGCACTAGCACAGCAAAAAACTGAATACCAGTCTTTATTAGAAAAACAAAAAGCCGATTACCAATCATAAATGACCCAGCAAACTAAAAAGATACCTCCACCAGTTCCTCTTAAAATTATGGAACAGATTCGTGATACATATGAAAGTGCTAATCCTTTTTCTGATACACTTACTAAAGAAGAAATAATAAGAGAGATCGCAAAAGCTTATGGACCATCTCCTAAACTGCAAAAGTCAGAAAAGTTGCAATCATCTAAAATTGATAGATTAGAATCAAAGATAGATGAAATTGGTCAAATAATATCTAAACTTAGTATGATATCACTTAATGAACAATCTCGAAAATCTTTTTATTGTAGCAATTGTAGACAGGAAGGTCATAAGAAAAATAATTGTTTCAAATTAGCTTTTGCATTTTCAGCAAATCCTGTAGCTAAATCCAATTTTACTCAACATTATTATTTCCAACTTCAATCCACACAGCTCCAATACTCATCTCCCGATTCAGATGATGATGATAATGAGGAAGATGGTTATGACAAAGCAGATAATGAGTGGTATTATACACCAGAAAAAAAAACAGGTAAATGAAAAGTTGTCTCTAGAATCCAGTCAGCCCGAAACATATGATGAGCTATTGCCAAAGCTTTCACCAGTAATGCATAAAATGTGTTTATCTCGTAAAATAAAGGAGGAGACATCAAAAAAGGATTAATGGTTTTCGTCTTTATAATATTTAAATACTAGTATTAATGACTTATCTATATCTGAAACTTTTTTAGATGACGGGAGTGAATTCGATAGTATGAATTTATCAGCTTCTAAAGCACTCAGGTGAAAAGTTGACAAGCCTTTCAAGTTTGCTGTAAAAGGTAATTCTAAACATATCTTTGAATCGTTAGGATGGCATTCAGACGTTCCAGTTACTCTTAAAGATGAGAAAGATAAACCAATCATCACTATTATTAGAAATTATGCTATTGTCGATAATGGTATGCCCAAGCCAATGTTATGGTTAGGTACAACAGGAATTCGAAAAATCAAAGGTATTTCTGATCCAACTAAAAATCAGTTCCGTATAAAAGATCATGGAAAGAGCTATATTATTCCAACATTCAGCAAAACTCCAGAAGTTAAGGATCCACCAAAAGAGGAGCATGATTCAGTTCAAGTATCTACTGATTCCTCTAGTCCAATTAATGATGACTTAATAAAAAGTGCGAAGAGCTTAGAAAATGCTTCTTGAAAACTAAGAGATTGCTTGATATAACGTTAAATGCAGGTAAAGTTCTTGCAGAAAGATGCTCTTAACTTACGGAGAAAGGATTGGATGCATGACAGATTCTCTAGTAATATTTATTGATTTTTTAAGATCAGATTCCTGACTAGATATATTATCTTTAAAAGAATTGACTACTTTGTTTTCATTTTTTTCCACTAAAGCTACTGAAAAAGAAGATTCATCTTTTGGCTTTATATTAGCCTTTTTTTTGACTAACTTTATCTTTTTACCTATTAGTTACTGTATTCAGACTATTAGAATTTATATGTAAATTTGGACTATTCTCATCATCTGCATAATGCTCAATGATTTCATCTTCTTAGATATTAGTAGAGAAGGAAGTATTGTGTGAAGATTTCTGATTATTTACTGAAATCTGGTCAGAGATGCTAACAGAATCTATGATTCTACGCTATTTCTCAGTAGATTCAGGAGGCCTCTGATTATCAATTATTTTTTGATATGTTGTTGATCCTATACGATGTTTTTTACACATAATACGCTAAGCATCTGGAATATTATTCTGAGCATTTCTAATTTTTTTGATAGCTTCAGGTAACAAGCGTCTGGCATCTGATCTAAGAAATTTACGAGTATGGGTTGTTTGTTTTTTGCTCATAATTTGCTAATTATAAAACTGTATGATACTAATAAAAAGCTTGTAAAAAATTTATTCGCAATCTATTTGATATTGGTCTGGCATTGGTTTGACATTGGTTTGATATATATAGGAAGTTCGCTTTCTTTACAGTATAGCTTGCTATAACTATGATTCAAATAAAAAATAGGTTTAGGATATATATGCTTCAAATATCATATCTATTTTAAACTAGTTCGTTATTAGTTTTTTATTGGTTTTTTATTAGTTTGATATTTGGTTTGATTCTAAACTCCTTTTTCCATATTCAAAGAAAAAAATATATATATGATAATTTTTTATACTAACAACTTCTGCTAAAAGAATTGTAAGAACATGTCTTAGAAAAAAAATCATAAAAAACTTTGCCTTCAAATAAATTTAAATGGCAAATATACATATGCTAAATGAGATGAATAATAGGACACCCTTGGTATCTGGTAATAAACTTGGAGATTCACCATTAAATCGATACCCATCTAGCCAAACTGAGCTTGAGAATCAACATTTAAAATATGATCTAGATATTGCTATAAGCTTAGGTATTCAGCTTGGTATTAGAAACAGTCTCTTAATAAAAAATAACGAAAGTTTTTCAGAGTGTATAGGTCAGCTTGAAGATAAGATGAGAGAATTTCAAAATGAGATCAATCAAAAAGAGATTTCTCTTGCAAATGCTAAGAGTGAGATTGCTACAAAATTAGAAGAAATACAGGCTTTTCATTCAAGAGTAGAGAAATTAGAGCTGGATGTTTCTTTAGAACAGAAGAGATTATCAGAGATAGATTATCTTAAACGTAAATTTGAAGAGGTAAATGTGAAACTAACTAATGAAAATATTGACCTAGATTTGGCGAAAATGGAGTTAGAAGATAGACTAGCCAAAAAAAGGATGAATTAATGCACATAAGAGATGATTTACTTTTAGTAAAAAGGCACTGATAGAGAAAGATTTTATCATTCAAGAAACTAATACTCCTTTATTAGAGCAGATTTCGAAAAATCCAACGAATCTAAGCAAAATGAAGTGATTAGAGATTATAAAGGACTGGAGAAAGGTAACGAAATTACTAGCCTCGAAACAACCTCAGAATCACCTTATTCCTTATTTTTTCAGCATGCAATCATCTTCGTAATAGTATTACTAATTATATACATCTTATGGTGCGTATTCTCTCATCTATATTCATCTTACAATAAAGAAAAAAATAATCTGAACTATAAAATACCCTTATATAGAAATCAGAATTATGAATTCTCAATCCGATATGTAAAAGAACCAAAAGACAAGACTGCCTCCTATGAAACTTTATCTTTTAGATATGGATAAAATCACAAAACATGAATCATCTTGAAATATTGGACATCCAGCAATAACATGGCCTTTTAGCATGTTGGTCACTGGGAGAAGTGGTTCAGATAAGACTAATTTACTTGCGAACCTTGTTTCTTGATGATAAGAATGAATATGTGCAAAAGGGAAAGAAAGGCAGATCTACTGTGATGACCTGATTATATGTGGTTATCATCCTGATGAACCAAAATGAACATATGTGAAATACATATATAAAATGATTTCAAGAAACCCGAGAGCACCTTTCTATGAGGATATTAGTTTCAGGTACATTCTACCTGAAAAGATTCCTAGTACAAAAGCATTCTCATCCAAAAAAAGCACAGTAATTATTTTTGAGGATCTGTGCTTAGCCCCGAACATATGCAAAATCAAATTGGCCAATTTTTTGAGAATGGACGTCATCGAAATATTTCAAGTATATATGTAACCCAAAAATACCATAAAGTCCCTACATTCATTCATGAGAATATCTCCCACCTAGTAATGTATAACGGTAGTAGTAGCTAACAAGATGTGTCCAAGATAGCTGGTTATTATACTGATGATGTGAAAAATGCATCCATGATTATTAATAGCTACCTTTGAAGAAATGAATTTATTGTATTTGATCTCACTAGGCCAGAAGATGACCCCTTTGCAATCCACCTAAGGTTTGACACTCCACTAAATCTGCAAAAGAAAATAGAGGCTAGGCAGAAGCGCAAGGAAAAGAGTACCTCAGCTAATGAGTAGATTTTAACTTCATAGATACTAACTTTTTTTCGTAATTATTAAAAAAAGTTGGAATGAGAAAACTGGTTATTTATATCGATCCTCAGAAAGCTCAAGATTTAGATCAGGATTTTACTTTACAGAAACTTTATTACAGACCTGAGAGATATTATCGGACTGCTGAAAAAATGCAAAGCGCCTGTAAGAAAGCTGGATATAGGTTTACTTTAGCCATTATAAAAAATTGGCTTAACAAACAGGCTTTGTATCAGATTCACAAGCCTTGTCCTAGATATATTTCTTGAGCAAGTTTTAGCTCTATTACTACTTCTAATGAAATACACCTTGCAGATATTCTCTACACGCCTTATGATAAAATTGGCTGGATAACTTATCTTTTTTGTCTTAATGTTGTGAATGTAGCTTTGAGATATAAAGCGTCCATTCCTATAGGCGCAACTAGTATTAAGGATAGGCAGAACATCTTAACCTCTCGCACTATTGCCAGAGTTCTTGCAAAAATCTATGATAATCCTGAGTGTTCCCTTACATGGCCGAAAGTATTTTTAATGGATAAGGGTTCTGAGTTTAAGGGTGAGTATGAGAGATTGCTTAGAGAATATGATGTAAAAATACAAAAGTCAAAGGCTAAACGCACTATAAGTATTATTGAAAGTTATAATAAAACTTTAGCTGAAAGATTATTTTGTATACAGGATGCATATGATTTATTAACATTACATTTGTCTGAAAGATTTTGAGCTTAGGTAAAGAATCTGCCTATAATTGTAGAAGACATCAATAATTCTATAATTTGACTTATAGGTTTATCTCTGACTATGGCAATAAAAAGAAACAGGTTATTATCCAGTCTTCTAAAACTCGAGAAGGGCCTGTAGGCTATGATGAACCACAATTAACTTATGATGTTTTAATAAGATATTTACTTGAATCTGGTGAGTTAGAAGGAGATAGTAAACAACGTACGACTGATTGTAATTAGTTTACTCAAACTTATCAAATTAGAAAATTACTAATGCAAAATCAGCCAGTTCTTTACTTGCTTATAGATAATAAAGATAATAGGTCTGAGCGATCATTTGTATTGTTACCCGAAAAATAGGACGTTTATTTTTAGGTAAGAGGTTGAGTTCGTTATGTTATAAATTCTTAGTTGATTTGATGAAACATCCTTGATCGCTGC